CGTCACTCTTCTCTCCTCCTCCCCCCCCCCTCCTCCCTTCTTTCTCCCCCTCTCCCTTCCCCCTCCCCTCTCCCCTCCCCCTCCCTCTCCCCACCCCAACTTCTCCTCCTTCTCCTCCCCTCCCTCTACAGCGTCGAATCGCCTCCCCTTTCTCCTCCCTTGCCAACAGTTTAACTCTGCCAAATGACACAGATAATAAGACAAGCAAACTACTAAATACATAAATGCACATTAATTTGGCTAACACAGAGTTCTCAGAATGATCTCAAAGCTCCCCTATTCATTCATTCATCAACAATCTGAACAGCCTACTATGTGGCAGGCACTAATGAACAAGAGGTATGGCCCCATTTTATGGGAGTCCATAAACTAGCAATTAGCCTTCTACTCCAAAAACTCTTCATAGAAATAACCTATGAAGTGAAAATCTACCAAATCTAATGGAAAATCTCTTGTACCACCACATATAGGGTTTTTTGTGAGATGGAGTTTCGCTCTTATTACCCAGGCTGGAGTGCAATGGCTCAATCTCAGCTCACCACAACTTCTGCCTCCTGGGTTCAGGCAATTCTCCTGCCTCAGCCTCCTGAGTAGCTGGGATTACAGGCACGTGCCACCATGCCCAGCTAATTTTTTGTATTTTTTAGTAGAAATGGGGTTTCACCATGTTGACCAGGATGGTCTCGATCTCTTGACCTTGTGATCCACCCACCTCGGCCTCCCAAAGTGCTGGGATTACAGGCGTAAGCCACCGCACCCGGCAGGGTATTTTTTAAAAAGGGAGGTTTTGCTGGATAAACCACTAGAGGATGCCAAAATTTAAGGAATTCTTTTCAAATGGTGTGAACAACAAAAAGAAACATTTTCCTAGTCCTTAAAATGGGCACAAGAATGAGTGCTTCTTTTGAGATATGGTTTGTAAGTTATAGGTATCCTGTATTCAGAAATGCAGAAGACTAGGGTACCTTACTCGGTCTCTTTTAATGTAGAAGCTATAAGCACTAGGCTTCTATTTACATTCAAAACTATTTATCTGAGACAGTCTCCCTCTCTTGCCAGGCTGGAGTGCCATCTGGTGCCATCTCATCTCACTGTAACCTCCGCCTCAGGTTCGAGCTATTTTCCTGCCTCAGCCACCCGAAGAACTGAGACTACAGGTGTGTGCCACTACACCTGGCTAATTTTGGTATTTTTAGTAGAGACGGGGTTTCACCATGTTGGCCAGGCTGGTCTCAAACTCCTGACATCAGGTGATCCGCCCACCTCAGCCTCTCAAAGTACTGGGATGACAGGCGTGAGCCCCCCCCCCATTATTTACATTTTAACGAAAAATAATTTAGAATAACAGCAGCCGTTGAAGAAAAATATCACCACAGGGAAAATCGTAAATGACTTCAGGTCCTCCACTGCCCTGAAGCTTCATTAAGGTACACCTGGTTTCAATACAAGGGCTTTTCAATCACACCACTTTCCTATAAAAGTCTATAAGGCACCTAAGGAGGAACACCAGACCGGCATTAATTTCCCCATTGTATTCCTGAATCTATTCCAAAGCCTTGGACCTTTCACAATTTTTCCAAACTGCTGGTGTGATTCTTAACACAATTGAGGAGACTACTTTACCCTAGGCTAGAGGTTCTAGTATAACAGATTACAGCTGTCTTTTCGTAAATTCCACCTCACTGACTTAAACCAACACAAGTATAATGTAACATCAATTCATGAAAAACCCTCATCTGAAGAGTTGAAAAAGAGGTAAAATACTGCTCACTCCGTATTCAAAGTTTCCAACAAGGAAAATCTGGCTAAAAAACAGAAGGGCCCACGAAACAATATTATCTCACAATCTCACATACTTCTTGCTTCCTGTCTCCCCAGTTTCTCCCACCTCACACGATGTCATCACTACCTCACTCCATTCCTTAACTGTTAACTCACCTATGCATGTTTACAATTTTATCACCTTTTGTGAGACCAGTAACGATCCCAGACAAAAACTTATGGAACTAATTTTGAATCAAAGCAAGAGCTACACTTGGACTTTTTTAACTCCCCCAAAGGAATCATGGAGCGAAGGTAGTAGGAAACCTGGAAAAGTGAAGAAAGCGTATTAAATCCTTTCTTCACATATTATTTTACAGCCTCCCCACTGTAAGGACCCATCAGGAAGCAAGGGCGGCCTCCTTTCCCCTTTTCTCTTACACACCTTACAGAAATATTCTCGGGATCTCCGCCCTATTTATCCTAACAGCTCCTCCCCTTCCAGAGCCAGGCCCAGCAAACGCTTGCCCCTCCCCCTCCGTGCCCCCTTTCCCAATTTATTCCATCTTCTCCGCCAATGGGCACACTTTGTGCGGCCCAGGGCCCTCTTTCAATTCACTCCAAGTTACTCCTCCGTAGTCCTGCAAAACTAGGTTTCTCTGGCAGCCCCGGCCAGACCCGGGGTCCTCCGATTACAGTTACAAACCTCGGGTCTCGCAGTCGTCAGCTCCTTCTCACACCTATCCAAGGCCTCAAGGCCTGTCCATGCCCAATCTTGTAAAAGTGTTTTCTCTCCAGCCTATCCCGCAGCCGCCACCCCAACCCAAGCCGCCACTGTCCCGACTACCCGGGCGGGGGACACGGAAAAAGGCCCCCAAGTGCTCGGCCCACCCTTGAGAGCTTTCACTCTCTGGGCTCAGGAATTCGCGCCCCGCCCTCTCCATCATTCTAGCAGATGGAACGACGCCTCAGCGCCAGGCTGAGAGCTCAGCGCGGGGAAGTGGAAAAAAAAACAGGACGCTGGACCCGGGCGCGCTCCCCGCTCCTAACCTCTGCCTCGAAAGAGCGGGCCCCGATGCGGGGCTCCCCGCCGCCGCCGCCGCCACCGCGCCCCTCCCCCAGATACTCCACAGCCTCCAGCCGGGCTCCTCACCTCAGAGCAGCGCCCAAGAGCCGGAGAGGAATCGGTGCTGCGCTACTGGCGCGTCGCGTCGGGTCGGCCGGAGGAGTAGCGCCAGGAAGGCAGCAAGCCGGTGGCCGCAATGGCAGCACCTCACTGGAGCGGCGTACCGCAGGCCCCGGCAACGGCCCTCCCCTCAACCGAACAAAAGAGCCTCGCACTCTGCGCTGCCCGCCGCCCGCACCGCGCAGGCGCGGCGACCCGCCGCACGGCACCATGGTCCTCGGGAATCAGTCCAAGACTACGAGATCCGAACTGCGCGCGCTGCGCGCCTGCAGTAGGCGAGGGGTGATAGGGACTTAAGAGTTTTTAAACTGTAACGGCGGAGCGACTGGCAGCGTTGAGCGTTGTAATCTAGCAAACTTAGAACATAATTTTTTTTTTTTTTTTTTGAAGACGGAGTCTCGCTCTGTACCCAGGGCTTGGAGGTGCAGTGGCGCGATCTGGCTCCTGCAACCTCCGCCTCCTAGGTTCAATGCAATTCTCCTGCCTCAGCCGCCTGATGTACCTGGGACTACAGGCGTGCGCCACCACACTAGCTAATTTTGTATTTTTTAGTAGAGACGGGGTTTCACCATGTTGGCCAGAACGGTCTCGATCTCTTGACCTAGTGATCTGCCCGCCTCGGCCTCCCAAAGTGCTGGGATTACAGGCTTGAGCCACCGCGCCCGACCAGAATTTATGACTTTTCTAAGCGAGCCCTTTATGCTTGGCCCGAAAAGTCAACCACTTATGGACAATTCTGTAATTCACATCCTCGAAATTTTTGAATCTTAAGTTCTTCACCAGAACTTTATCATATCTACTTCTCCACAAATTTCCAAGCATTTCTGTAGTCCTGGATCTCCGTCTCCTCAAATCTCTGCAAAACTCTTAAGGCCAAGTGCGGTGGCTCAAGCCTATAATCCCAGCATTTTGGGAGGCCCAGGTGGGTGGATCACCTGACGTCAGAAGTTCAAGACCAGCCTCGCCAACATGGTGAAACCCCGTCTCTACTAAAAGTACAAAAATTAGCCGGACGTGGTGGTGCGCACCTGTAATCCCAGCTACTTGGGAGACTGAGGCAGGAGAATTGCTTGAACCCAGGAGGCGGAGGTTGCAGTGAGCCGAGATCGCACCATTGCACTCCAGCCTGGGCAACGAACAAAACTCCGTCTAAAAAAAAAAAAAAAACCTACTCAGTGTGTTAAGATTAATTCCCCTGGCTGGGTGCAGTGGCTTATGCCTGTAATCCCAGCACTTTGGGAGGCCAAGGTCGGTGGATCATCAGACCAGGAGTTCAAGACCAGCCTGACCAAGATGGTGAAATCTGTCTCTACAAAAAAATAGAAAAATTAGCCGGGCATGGTGGTGGGTGCCTGTAATCCCAACTACTTGGTTGGCTGAGGCAGACAATTGCTTGAATCTGGGAGGTAGAGGTTGCAGTGAGCTGAGATCATGCCATTGCCCTCCAGCCTGGGTGGCAGAGTGCCACTTTGTCTCGAAAAAAAAAAAAAAAAGAAAAAGATTAATT